CAGTGAAAATCTAACTTTGGGTGAAAAAAAATTAACAAACTGATGTTATTGTAAAATATTGAACATGAAGAGACAGAGAGGATCAATAGATCTACTAGTTTAGTGGTTCAATCACTTTATGGCATCCTTAGCCTCTCCTGCTTTACCCTCTACGAACTCAGCCGCTTCTTTTGCTTTCTCCGTCACATATTCCGAAGCTTTCTGAGCTTCCCCCACCGCCGTATCTTTGGCTTCGACGGTTTTCTCAACAACGTAGTCTTTCGCTTTCTCGCCATCTTTCAACGCCTCCTTTGTCTTCTCCGTCACGAAATCCGAAGCTTTCTTTCTATTTTCAAATATATTCAGATTCATTATTGACCATTTCATGACATATATATATTGTAAAATGATGAAACAATATTTGAGGTTTATACGTAAACTAAAAAACACAAGGGATTATTTGTTATGGTATATGAAACTTATCTTGAATATATAGATATAGACTTACGTGGCGTCGTTGACGTCATCGACGATGTTGCCCTCGCTTTTAACGGCGTAGATCAACGACTTCTTGCGGTGAGCGACCACGACTAGGTCAGTTTTCCGGCCAAATTTGACGGTGTAAACGCCATTAAGCTTGGCTCCATTGTTGTGGAAAGTAGAACCAATCCCACTAAGAACAGCTCCTGATAATGGCATTGCCATGAGATCTTCCTTAAGATGTGGGAGAAAAAAAGAGTGTGTTTTGGGAGAAAAATAAATAAAAATGAGATGAGAAGTATCTAATCTCCAATAGTATCTTTTTATAGATCTTTAGACCAATTAGAATCCAAGAATACACGTGTCTTTGTAAGATATTTTTTTGGTATTGATATTATCTTTTCAAGTTTTGAACAAGAAGAGTTTTTGCTCGCTATTGTTCGGCCACGTAAAATCATTTTCATGGTTTTCCAAACAGAAAAGAAAAACAGGTCGGCCATCAAGTTGTGGTTGGCAATAAAAGTTTACATGTTAGCATTTCTATATTTTTGTTGGCAAGTTTAATATTTAAGCACAATGGTAGTAAGTTTTGGTAGTTCTCATTTTGTTAAGTGTACTCTCCTTTGTTGTAATAAAAACAAAAAATATGTCGGCAACCAAGTTAATTTGGGTTTAAAAAATCCATACCAAAAGCTACAACAAAATGAACCACTATTGTAGTAAGCCTAGCTAAATGTAAAATTAATAGCCCAAACGAGTTCAAACGTACAAACTATATTACATAGTTAAACAAATATTTTATGGGTTAAATGCAGCGGATGCAAGTATAGTTATCTTTCTTGTTCTTAACCGTTTTAACACAAGGAAGATTTACATTTGTATATCTGCTTGAAGAAATGCTTGAGTTTATTAGGAGGAAGTTTTAATTTTTGTAAGAGATTATATGTATAATTGCAATGCACCACATTCTGATTAATTCTCATCCAAGTGCATCTCCAGCCAATAACCTAACTTAGCAGTATATACTTCATCATGAGACAATGTCATCCAATTTGAACAAAAAATAGAGCTGATTGATTACATTATAGCTTCTTCTTTTTGTGTCTAAAATCTCTCTGAAACTTATGGTTTCCATGTGCAAATCCAATCAATTCCATTTTTTATAAAACCCCCAATGATAACAAATGGTCCGTAATGCCAAGTACTTGCTAACTTGAGCTTCTTTTTGAATGCCCATAAAAATGCTTGACATATGCATCTCGGAACTTTTGAATCAATTAGATTACCAATGTACTAGCATAGCTGTCATAGTTAATCGATCAACTAAAATTCCCCATACATTTGCAAAATTTCCTTTAGAGCTGCACAATTCTTGGAATCAACTTTGCAGAAAAAAATAGTCATATATGAGAACAAAAGGTGAGTTATAGAAAGATCTGGAGAATTAGTTACGTCAATATTGTTAAAGAATATGGTTAATCTACGAGAGTAAAATTGATCAAACAAAATTACAAAAATAATTTTGTATAAAAGGACTAAAATAACACATTTTTACTTGTAAATTATTTGTATGCATTAAATAATGGATCTGTAACACAGAATGGTAAGAGTTGTTAACGGTAATGGAACAATAATTGATGATAGAATCATTAGAATTGGTAAAATATGGCAGAATAGTACTACGTACAAAAAAGTGGCGGTACCACTTTCACTATTGAATTTTTTTTTTTTTTGTGTGATAAAGGAGTGGTATACCTAGCTCTTACCTACTATACAAGGTCACTAATCAAAGCCAAGTTTCTTTTTAATCATTTGACAATAATTTAAACTGTGATGCTGAGTAACTAAGCAACATACTTTATTTCAAATGGTGAAATAGAAGCTAAAACAAACCGATCTTGTTGTACAATATATAAAACATGAAGAGACTGGAGAGAAGATCGATTTATCTACTAGTTAAGTGGTTTGAATCCTCAGGACTTTGTGGCATCCTTAGCCTCTCCTGCTTTACCCTCTACGAACTCAGCCGCTTTGTTTCCAGCATCTTTTCCTTTTTCCGTCACATAATCCAAAACATTCTTAGCTTCCTCCTCCGCGGTATCTTTGGCTTCAACGTTTTTCTCAACAACGTAATCTTTCGCTTTCTCGCCATCTTTCAAAGCCTCCTTTGTCTTCTCTGTCACGTAATCCGAAGCTCTCTTTCTATATTTATATATAATCAGATTCAGTATTGAATAGTGACCAATGATTTTAATCAAATATATATCTACAATTGTCAACATGGAATTACCTTAAGCTTACTGTATTCTCAAATATTTGAGTCTTTACGTAAATTATAAGAAAACTTTAAACTTATAATTTTGTTTATCCAGGATCCAGCTTTATATAATAAGATGACGAGTAATCTATATATAAGAGCTTTTGTGTGAATATAAATTATATAAGATAGACTTACGAGACAAGATGTTCAAATACAAAAACATAGAACTTACGTGGCTTCGTTGAGGTCATCGAGGATGTTGCCGTCATCATCTTTAACGGCGTGGATCAACGACTTCTTGCGCTGAGCGACAACGATGAGTTCAGTCCTCCGGCCAACTTTGACGGTGCCTACACCGTTAAGCTTGGCTCCTCCGCTGTGGAAAGAAGAACCAATCCCACTGAGAAGAGCTCCTGAGAATGACATCGCCATGACAAAAGATGTGGATGAAAAAAATGTGTGTTTGACAAAAGAAATCAAAGGAGTTTTTACAGGAACTAAATGAGATGAGAAGAATCTAATCTCCAATAGTATCGTTTTATAGACTTCCAGACCAAAAACTACACGTGACATCGTAAGATATTTTCTTGCGCATTGATATTATCTTTAACTATTGAACAAAAAAAAGAGTTTTTCTCGTTCGCTATTATTCGGGCACGTGTAATCATCTTTGTGGTTTTCCAAAAAAAAAAAAAAATAGGTCGGCCATCAAGTTGTGGTTTATGTACAAGTTCATTTTTGGCAACAAACATTGACATATTAGAATTTCTATTCTTTTTATTTTTTTTGGAAAATTGAAACCCTAATAAGTAATACTAAGTAAATAATTAAGAGTTTGGGTCGTCGTTTTCATTTTGTAATAATAAAAGCAAAATAATATGTCGCAATATGTTGGGTTTGGAAAGCCTAAATCTACCAAAATGAGTCATGAAATGCTTGACATATCTTGGAACCTCTCGATAAATTTGATTACAAAATATAATAGCAGACTTGTCATAGTTAATCAATATTAACATGAACATTCTTCACAACTCTACAATTTTCGGAATTAAGCATAAAGCTATAATTTCGATTGTAATCCTAAACCTATTCATTTCTATAACATATTTACTATTTAACACACAAAAAAAATTTGGAATTAACTTTACATAAAATAGAGAATCTTGAGTTATAGAACGTTATTAGAAAGATTGAAGCTTAGTTAAATAAATATTATTAATTTAGGAGAATAAAATTGATATAAAAAGATTACAGAAATTAATTTTGTGAAGAAACTAATTTTTTTTGGTTATTACATAAATTAACCCTATATATAAACGGATCCATATATTCTAAGACGTAGGGCTAACTTTATACTCGTACTCATTCTATAGTACTAGATATGATTGGTCACAAAAAGGAAAAAATAGAGAAAAAAGATGGTGGAATAGTTGGAAGTGGTAATAGATAATGAGAAAAAAATGATGGTGGTCTCGTTTAAAAACCGCTAATTTTTCTTATGAGTTTTGTTATTGGTAACAAAATGAGTAGTATACCTCTTACCACTGCAATAAATTACGGGTTGACAATCGGTTTCTTTCAAGTTTCCAAAAAAAACGATCGGTTTCTTTTCAATCATTTGAAATGTGAGGGTGAATAATTACGTAACATATCTTTATTTCAAATGGTTAAAACAAGCTGATCTTATTGTAACTATTAAACATGCCGAAAGAGAGAGAGAAGATCGATATATCTACTAGTTTAGTGGTTGAATCAGGCCTTTGTGGCATCCTTAGCCTCTCCTGCTTTACCCTCTGCCAACTTAGCCGCCTCATTTCCAGCTTCTTTTGCTTTCTCGGTCACATACTCCGAGGCTTTTTGAGCTTCCTCCACCGCCGTATCTTTGGCTTCAACGTTTTTCTCAACAACGTAGTCTTTCGCTTTCTCGCCATCTTTCAACGCCTCCTGTGTCTTGTCCGTCACGAAATCTGTAGCTTTCTTTCTGTTTTAAATTTTTAATATATATCAGATTCATTATTCATTGATCAACGTTTTTTATAACATATATCTACACATTGAAATGGCTTCTCAAATATTTGAGGGCTATATGTAAGTGATGAATGGGTCATTTTTACGGTATATGAAACTATATCTTGAATGATATTAAAAGAAAACCATAAAATGAGCTCAACAAACACAAAATTCCAATAATTTTATAGAGAGCTATTCAAAAATACCTCACTTTAATATATATTTCAAGATTCTTTTTACGTTTACAGTTCTGCCATATACTTTTAAAAATAAGTTCCTTTTACAGAAGTATATTCTAAGTTTCAAATGGTAGCCTTCATAATTAACCGGCTAAATTGCGTTTATCGAAATATTATCTTGGCGAGTAATACATATAAGAGTTTTTGAGTGAATATATATATTAGGAATCTCACATCGAAAGATAGAGTTACGAGACAAGATGTTAAAAGCATATTGTAGACTTACGTGGCGTCGTTGAGGTCATCAAGGATGTTGCCGTCACCTGCGTAGATCAATGACTTCTTGCGCTGAGCGACGACAACAAGCTCAGTTTTCCGGCCAAATTTGACGGCACCAACGCCGTTAAGCTTGGCCCCTCCGGTGTGGTAAGAAGAACCAATCCCACTGAGAAGAGCTCCTGAGAAAGACATGGCCATTTTAAGAACAAAATGTGTTTTTGGGAGGAAAAGAAATCAAAGGATGAGTATTTTAGATGGAAGAAGTGAAATGAGAAGTGTATTCTCCAATAGTATCGTTTTATAGATCTTTAGACCAATTAGAATCCAAAATCACACGTGTCATCGTAAGATATTTATTTGTGCATTGATAATTATTGTTATGGTTTTCCAAAAAAGAAAAACAGGTCGGCCATTAAGTTGTGGTTGTTTACGTGTTACAGAATTTTGGCTACACAAGTTTTACATGTTAGCATTTCAGTTTTTATTTTTTGCAAATTTGAGAACTAATAAGTAAAAAAGAGTTTTTGGTGGTTCTCCTTTCGTCATGTCTACTGTACTGACTTTTGTTGTAATAAAAACAAAAACAAAAAATATGTCGGCCAACAAGTTAGTTTGCGTTTGCAAGCCCATATCTACCCAGAGCAGGTGATCAAATGAAGCAGTATGGTAGTAACAAGCCTAAATGTAAAATTAGTAGTCCAAATAAGTTTCGTGACCGAAATTCATATATTTCATGTATCGAAGATAATAGCGGATTTAATCTCTTTCAAAAAAATTGAAATAATATGGTAGTATAGCATGACAAGCCTAAATATAATACTAGTAGCCCAAATAAGTTTATAGACCGAAATCCGTATATTTTTATGGATCAGAGATAAGAAATGATTTTCTGATCCATAAAAATATACGGATTTCGGTCTGTAAACTTATTGGGGCTACTAGTAATTTTTTTGAGCTACCGAAATTTTTTATGGATCAGAGATAAGGTTCAATTATAGACCGAAATCCGTAAATTTACTAATCGGCGATAATTTTTTTCAGGTTCAAACTTTTTTTAGGAGTTTTTTCCGATATAAACTCCGTTCCAAAACTCCTCGGTTTGATTTTGGTATTAGACATTAGTCGGTAACAGGTCAAGAGAACCTTCCACAGTTCCACGCACGGAGTAGTTTTAATTTAAGAATATTATTAAAGAAAATGAAAATTTAAATCGCAGGGTCAGTAAAAAAAGAAAAAAAGAATTTGACGGTCAGTAACGTCTCTTATTTAGATGAATATGATATAGGAACGTAATGATTTCATAATCTTATCGTAAAATTAAATTCCATTAGCACAAAACAGATCCAACGGACAAGATTTACTTAATATTAAGTGGCAGTGTAGATTCTGTTGCGTGTGAAGGTAAACAAACTCACCGACTTGAAGAAGAAGTTTCTTTTATTTACTCTCTCTCTCTCACTGCAATCTCTCAATTGATTCAATATTTCCTCTAGGGTTTTCATCATAACTTGAAGAAACCAGCTCATTAGAGATCGAAGCTCGATGCCGCCGAGAAACCAGAAGAAATCAAGTGCAAAGATGCAACCGGAGATGGATTTCGTGAAGGTTTTGGGGAAAGGTTCGTTCGGATCCGTCAATCTTTTCAGATACCCTAAACCCGATGGTTCGATGTTCTACAACGCAGTGAAGATCTCAGACGTTCAACGCTACGATTCTCTGGACAGAGAGTTTCGGATTCTGAAAAAACTTAGAGGATGCCCTAGAATTGTGCAATGTTTTGGAGACTATCTGTTTGAAGATTTCAATTGCCATGGAAACAGAGTTTACAAGATGGTCATGGAGTACGCATCTGCTGGCACTCTCACTTCTTACATGGAACGAAACAGAAGATTGTCCGATTCGATAATTAAAAACTTCACTCGTATGATTCTACAAGGATTGGTCTCGATTCATAGTCTCGGTTATGTCCATTGTGATCTTAAACCGGACAATCTCCTTCTTTTTCCGCGTTACGATGAAGAAACGTGGAATTGTTCATACGATTTGAAGATTTCGGATTTTGGAATGTCGACAAGGGCCAGAGAAAGATCTCGTTATTGGAGAATTAATTGTCCTTTTGTTGGAACACCTATCTACATGTCTCCCGAGTCGGTCCACGACGGTACGGTCGAGAAAGCCCTAGATTTGTGGTCGCTAGGTTGCATAGTGTTGGAGATGTATATCGGTAAGCAACCATGGTCAGAGGTTGATTCTAATGATCTTGAATATAATCTGGTGGACAACATCGCACCAGAGATTCCGAATACGGTGCCTTGTGACGCAAGGAAGTTTCTAGAAACGTGTTTTGCAAGTACCCCTAAGGATAGAGGAACCGCTTCGGAGTTGTTGTTACATCCGTTCTTGACCGGAGAAGAGAGAAAGCCATTGTTGTTGAAGATGAAGATCAGCCCGAAGAAGATGACGGATATTTCAGAGAGGCCTATGAAGTTGGAGACTATTCCGATGAATCCCCCACAATTTAAGAAAATTGCGATTAAACCCCTGAAGTTGAAGGTGAAGATTTTACCTTGGAGAACTCCAGCTTCCAATTTGGTTCCTGTTCAGTAGTGTCAACTGTGTGTTGAATTCTTCTTTTGTTACTTAGTAAAGATCAAGTAACATGAGGACCAAATCAATGGATGCAAAAAATGTAGATCTTAGTTCTCATTTAGTGTGTATGTTTACAATATTAACTATTAATTTTTCTTTGAAGAATTTCATTGATGTATGTTCTTTATGTTTCAAATTAAATGTGAAAGTTTATTCGAAG